TGATCTTGAAAAGATCTGATTTGTCCCAGTTTGCGGTGAATGCCCATCCTTCTGAAGCAAGGTGTTCTCATTACAAATATTCTACAAATACGGAGATGATGGGCTAGAACAGGGGTAGGCAACCTTGGCTCTTTTATGACTCGCGGACTTCAACTCCCATGCTGGTTCAGGAATTTTGGGAGTTGAAGTCCGCGAGTCATAAAAGAGCCAAGGTTGCCTACCGCTGGGCTAGAAGTTGTTTAAATGCTTCTTCCAAAAAGATTAATTGACCCAATTCTCTCTTCTGAAGCTTGACAAATAGAACTGAAAAAACATTTGGAGAGTTCCTTTGGAACTTGAGGACTTGCCTTTCTGAACCCCCTTCTCAAAGCATGGAGATACTAGGCCCCTCTGTGGTTCACAACAACAGAAGTATCCCACACGTGATATAATATACATGTTCTGATGACATAGGAAAGTCCTTGAAGCACCCATGTCAAGCCTTCAAGAAGACATTTTGGGTTTGGAAGAGTCCAGTCTCTCGAAATTATCTCTTCAGTGGCCGTTAGTAGCTGTTCTGACTTTAGTTTGCTGGTTGTTCTCTCAAATAATAAATAAATCATTCATCCTGGCATTTCTTTTTGCTTTGAATTAGAGTTGTTATTTCTAAGCCAAATGAAGTTGGAGCACAATAGATGGCTTCAAGGTTACCTACTTTTCCTTGAGTCTTTTGCACATTTTATGTGGATAATTATGTTCTGTAAAGATTATAGTTATATGCAAATTGGATACACAGATGTTTTCAACCATGTATAAATTGCAGACATACAAGTTAGAGAGTCAGGATTTGTGACAGATCCAGATGTTGTGGTCTGTCATTAGATTTGTAGCAGCCTGTAATTAAAGAATCAAGTCATTTTTGCTTTGCGATCACGGTCTTACATGACTTCCCTATCTTCTAAGCCAATGTTTGCCTCTTATATGTAAGACTTCATTGGGCTATTTTCTCTATAATTATTCCAATCTTCTCTTGGATAGGAAGACTGTCTGTGGGTGTTTGTGTGTCTGGGTGTTTGTGTGGGTGTGAAAGAGAGCATAAAGATGGAACAAAAGTGGAGAATGATTAAATACTAATGTTTGTAAACTCTTCTTATTCCTATAACTCCCAACAGCCCTGTCTAGCATGAATGATAAATGCTGAAATTACAATCAGCATAATCAGGCAGCTGGACAGAGCTAGACAAAAGTAAATAGAACCTTTAGCCTTAGAATTTTGGGACCAACTTAAATCCAAATTTTATTCACAGCTACCATATTAATGGGCATCCTTAACTCCTTATCCACCTCTAACTGTGCAGTATCTTTGTTCAGAATAATCCCTATCAAAATGAAATTAAGTAGGTTTGCAGGTTTGCTTAATAATACATTAGATATCAATTTAACAATGACTGCACATGATTGCAGATCTTTTTAGAGAGCAAACACAAGGGGGCTGTAAAAGGGAGGTCATTTCCTACCTATCAGACCTCCTCATTCAGTCCAATTTCCATTAGAAAAGAATTAGATTTGCTTGATATGTTGCAAAAACTAAACCATCCAAAGTCAGATTCTTATTGGATAGCATCAGAAGTTTGCAGGTTTGAAATAGTTCATTTTTCTCTTTTTCATACAATTGTTGGGTCAGTGGCAAGACATTGGTTTTCCATTTAATATGTTATTGAATAAAAGTTAATATGATAGTTGCCCTTTCAATGTTAATGCTCTCTTTCTAAATTATATCAAATGAAGCTTGGTGTAATGCCTTGTTTTATAACTGAATCCTAGCTGAGTTATAAATTTATGTGCAAAGCAGCTCCATGTATGTAAATTGTGGGTAGTATGTGGTATGTGGGTAGTATGTACAGAGTGTTCATAGTATTTAATTGGGTATTCTTCATATCTCATGAAAGAAAATCTACTAAAATAATGATGGAGATTTTCCTGGATTCAGAGCATGTTCACCAGTAATAACCTTTTTTCACTTTTGCATGCAGAATTGATACTTCAATCTGTCCCCAGTCTTATCTACTTGACCTTCTGCACATTTAGCATTTACAGAAAGAAATAATGGAATGTTCCCAAAGTCATTTATGTCCTATGAAAGTTAAAGGGGATGGACTGGATTTTCACTTCATATATTCATTTAATTATGGCAATATTGCAGTGCATGCTTAGATGTAAAGGGGCACTATTGTCAAACCTAGAGGAATCCAGGCTAAATTGATGAATATCTCAGAACAGAATAACTTTGATTTAACTTCACAGAAAGTACAGGTATATTTTAGCATTTTAACATCTTCTCTTCCTTGCTCCTAGTTTGATCTTTACCTTCAGGAGAAAATCCCATGAATCCCATTTTAAGTGAATTTAAATAGCATGACTTTGAGATGTTCCTTGATGTTTATCTCTTCTTCTTTCTTTCATGTCTGGAGAGTTATATATATAGGCTGGCCTGGCTTGGAAGGCTTCTACTCCTGACTTTTGGGAATTCTGCCCAATCAAATTTGATTTAGTTGGGAAATTAATTCAGCCATGTTACTGTTGTTGGTGGAGAAACAGACTGATTTATCTGAACCCACTTAACGTAATTTTTTTTGTCTGATCTGATACACTCTAAGATTAATTATTGTAAATTTAGGCCATCATTCAAAAGAAATATGGCAGAGGTAAAGGGTTGTAGAAATTATACCAAACAGTCCATCTGCATTTAAAAGACAAAGGCCACTCTTTTGAAGACAACAATGTCCACATTTTAGACAGAGAGGACTGCTGGTTTGAAAGAGGGGTGAAAGAGGCCACTTATGTCGAAACTGAACAGCCCTCTCTCAACAGAGGGGAAGGGATACGACATCATCTATCTCCAGTCTATAGCACAGTCTTTTCAGCAGTTCTAAGAACTCCACACCCATTTGCACTACTCAGGTGACCCTGAGGACACAGATAAATCTCCAGGTGGCCTCAAGGACTTTCTTGTTGTTGTTGTTAGTTGCGAAGTCATGTCTGAACCATCGCGACCCCATGGACAACATTCCTCCAGGCCTTCCTGTTCTCCAAGGACTCTCTAAAAGAATGCAAATGACCAGCTGTCTGCAAGGAATATAAATCCTTTCATTCCTCACCATCCAGTCAAGAGCTTGTCTAATAATAATAATAATAATAATGATGATGATGATGATGATAAAGTTGGAAGGGACCTTGGAGGTCATCTAGTCCAACCCCCTGCCCAGGCAGGAAACCCTATACCATTTCGGACAAATGGCTGTCCAGTCTGTTCTTAAAAACTTCCAATGTTGGAGCATTCACTGCTTCTGGAGGCAGGTTGTTCCACTGGTTAATTGTTCTAACTATCAAGAAGTTTCTCCTTAGTTCTAGGTTGCTTCTCTCCTTGCTTAGTTTCCACCCGTTGCTTCTTGTCCTGCCTTCAGGCGCCTTGGAGAATAGCTTGACTCCCTCTTCTTTGTGGCAACCCCTGAGATATTGGAACACTGCTATCATGTCCCCCCTCGTTCTTCTCTTCGTTAAACTAGACAGTTTAACGAAGAACCTTCTTGGATGAGAAGCGAAACGTCTCCAAAGGAAAACAAGAAAGTCCAGTTGCCTCCTGAAAAGGCACCTTTGGGTTTCACAGTTAAGGCATGAGTGTAGGAAATATGAATGCTTCCTCTCATGTAACCATGTTGTCATTTTGCAGACTAAGGAAGTTCCTCCCCTGCTATTTTTTCCTATGAAAAATGTTCAAATGATATATACATCTTAAAGACTCAGAAGCTGTTATCATCCAAATGGGACATTTACTTCCAACCTTTTTCTTGAAAAGTCACTTCCCAGCCTCCCAATTTCCATCCAAACATAGTATGGAGATTTGGAATGAGAATTGTTAAAGGGAGAAAACAAGAGTGAAAGCTAGTACTTTCTCTCAAACCCAGGACCCAAACTTCTCTTCTGAGCTATGGTTTTAAAAAGCCCTTTGAACTTGATGGGGCCCATCTCCAGTTTTCTAAATCTTTTTGTAATAATTCCTTCTCAACTTAAATTTCTCTGGAGCTAGTTGTACCAGATATGGCAGGTATGTTATAGCTACCAGTGCTGTGGATACAGCAGCGCCAGGCTCCATAAGATTATTCTTTCTGCTTTATTCATCAGATATAGGTAGTCCTTGACTTATGACCACAATTGAGCTCAACGTTTCTGTTGCTAAGCAAGACAGTTGTTAAGTGAATTTTGCCCCATTTTATGACCTTTCTAGCCATAGTTGTTAAGTGAATCACTGCAGTTGTTAAGTTAGCAACATGGCTGTTAAGTGGATCTGGCTTCCTCATTGACTTTGCTTGTCAGAAGGTCAAAAGAAGGTGATCCTCCACATGATCCCAGAACCCTGCAACCACCATAAATATGAGTCACAGGCTAGGAACTGAATTTGGTCATGTGGCCATGGGGAAGCTGCAATGGTCATAAGTCACTTTTTTCAGTGCCATTGGAACTTCACACGGCCACTAAATGAACTGCTGTAAGTCAAAAACTATCTATATTGAAATTCATCTTAACCATACTAAACCATACTAAAGAATGGTTAAATATGGTTAACATACTCCATACACTATTCAGATTAATAGAAGCAATACTGTGGATCTGTTTACGGGAAGTAAGGGAACAATTCCAGCCATATTTTTAAAATCCATTATTACTGTGCATGTGACTTTGCTTTTAACTTTTCAAAAGTGCTGATAATTAAACCCATTGCTTTTCATTCATGTCATATCGAAGTGGGACTTTTCTATTAAAGTTTCTATCATGATGACTGAAAAAGTCAAAGTTCCTTTCGCTAGAGGGGTAGCTATATAAATTTGTTTAATAAAATAAAAATAAATGAAATAAAACAGTAAGGAGGAACCCATAATAGTGCAAAATCTGCATTTTTCCTAAAAAAATTATAAAATGATTCTCATGAGCAAACAACAGAAAGCCATAAAAGTTAGCAATCAGTTTTTCTTTTCTTTTTTACTAGGCTTGTCTATATCAACTATACAAAGTCTGTAGACAATTGTCTGTACAGGGCTTTTTCTTCTTAAATAAATGAACCTGCAGTTTATGAAAAGTTGTCCAATGAATTTCAGAGAGCAGGTTGTGTGTATTTAATTACTAAGAGTCTCTTTTCTCTTCTCTCTGGGACGGTTCTTGTCCCCGAAAAGTGTTCTCAGAAGAGGTTAGAACCAGCATCAAGTATCAATTAAGTATAAAGTATGGTTAATGTAAGCAAAGCCAGCATGCAAATGTTGCACGAAGGGGGGGGGGAAGACTGCAGAACACAGGAAAACAAAAAATAAAAATGGAATTCCCTTCAACATCCAGCTGACACAATCATCATTGCAATGAAAAGGAAGCAGCATTCCAATTATTTGGTCAGTGTTCGCCCTTATTCATGTTGTCTTTTCACCGTCTTCTTCCAAAGCCCTGATCTCTTTGCAATTTAATAAAGCAAAAATAAGCAGTTGCAGCAAAATGTGGTTCTGCTCAGTTTCTCAGCGAGTTAAGGTTTATTTCAAAATATTTCATATATTTATATATTTGTAAATGATACAAATAAAAATGGTCAATCCACACGTACGGGACCATGGTTCATCTTTCAGAATCACAAAACTTACTTCTGTTGAACTGCTTGCCAATGTCTTCTCTCTCTCCCTCTCTTTCTCCCCCTTCTTCTTCTTCTTTTTTTTGCTGTCCGCTCTGAATCATTATTTGTCTAGTGTTTTGGCTCTACACAAGCAAAGCCATTGCAGTTTCCTCCGTTACAGAGTTAAGGTGCCAATCAAAAACAAAAGAAAACAAAAACCATTTGGCTTATAGAAGCTGGAGATGGTTTAAGGTTCAAAGATTTCTGCCTTCTATCTGTCAGGGAGTTCCTTGCAGGCTGCTGTCAGAAGAATGTTTGTTAGGTCCTTGGGTGAATCTGCAATAACAAACCAAAAGAGAAAGGATTATGCTCAGCCCCTTGAAAATTACCTTGATTCTTCAGTTTGGTGGATGGAGACAGACCTTCCCCCAAAGCTGCATAGCCAAGGTAAAAGTAGCCAAGACAGTGTGTTCAAAATCAGACCAGAGACAAGTGGAAAATTAGGGGGACAAAAAAAAAAAAATTAATAATACCAGGATTTCTCTCTCAGTCTATCCCAAGAAAGAAGTCCTTGTATTCTCTCCCCCCAAATCTGATTCACATGGAGAAAAGCTGAGTAGGATTGGTGACCTCTTTGCAGGACCATTCAGCCTTAAGGTGCTGTTCCTCTACTGCCATTTCTTTGTTGCCTGCTGGAGATAACATCTGCCAGTCAAAATTTTCTTTGTGGCTGCTGTTGAAATACCAACCTGTAGAAGACATTCTTCCTCTGCCATCTCCTGCCCTGCCTTTATTTCTGTACACAGGGACCACCCTTTGAACTTCCTTTGCTTTCAGAGGCAAATGTTTGATCTTATATCGAACATAAACTATCATTCAGGTCCCTGAAATTCTGTTTGTATGAATGAGGCAACAATATTCAGCAGCCATCAGCCTTTGCGGTAGATTGGGGCTAAGATTTGGCCAAGCTAGAAGAAATCGGTTTCAGGGAATACATCTTTTTTTTTTTTTTTTTTGAGTGCCTTTAAAAAATTCTAGTGAGCCTTTCAGTTTGCAATTTTCTAAAACTATCCTGGGGAAATAGAACTCTAAAAAATAGCCAGAATGGTTCTTTGTAAGGGAAAAAAAAAAGAGTTGCACATCATTATATGTGTCAGTACCCACTCTTGCACCTTGTCATGCTGAAATCAACAAAGGTAGTCAGTCATTTAAGAGAGAGAGAGAGAGAGAAAGCTAACATTTGTACAAAAGGTCAGGAACATTTTTTACAGTAGCAGGAATTCATGAGAACTTTGTCAGCGAGGCCTGTTAGCGCTTTCACAGAGATTTTAATTGAGTTGAGAAAAATGGCAGCAAATCTTAGAGAGGTTAGGCTGCTTCCTCCCTCCCTCCCTCCCTCCCTCTCATATGAGAAGCTGGCAAGTTTTTCAGGGGCTGCCACAAAGAAGAGGGAGTCAAGTTATTCTCCAAAGCAGCTGAAGGCAGAACAAGAAGCAACGGATGGAAACTAATCAAGGAGAGACTCAAACTAGAACTAAGGAGAAATTTCCTGACAGTTAGAACAATTAATCAATGGAACAACCTGCCTCCAGAAGCAGTGAATGCTCCAACACTGGAAGTTTTTAAGAAGAGACTGCACAGCCATTTGTCCGAAATGGTATAGGGTTTCCTATCTGAGCAGGGGTCTGGATTAGATGATTCTAAGGTCCCTTCAACATTATTATTATTATTATTATTATTATTATTATTATTATTATTATTATTATTATTATTATTATTATCGATCATCGCACAGTCAGCCAGATGTTCAGACTGGATTTGGCATTTTGTCTACCTATCGAGTCCTTACCCAGGACCTGGGATAGGCAGATGTGGATGTTTGATGGTATTACAGATATCGTCGCAGGATGGAAGCAGTTCCTAATAAGGCCGCCTTTTGCAATTGATTATTATTATTATTATTATTATTATTATCGATCATCGCACAGTCAGCCAGATGTTCAGACTGGATTTGGCATTTTGTCTACCTATCGAGTCCTTACCCAGGACCTGGGATAGGCAGATGTGGATGTTTGATGGTATTACAGATATCGTCGCAGGATGGAAGCAGTTCCTAGTAAGGCCGCCTTTTGCAATTGCCTAATAGCAAATTTGTCAATGCCAATGGTGTTCAAGTGGTGCTCCAGTTGTTTTGGGATTGCACCCAAGGAGCCTATTACTATTGGTACTACCCTTGCTTGCTTTTGCCATAGTCTTTCTATTTCTATTTGTAGATCTTTGTATTTTGTTATCTTCTCCAGTTCTTTCTCATCTATTCTGCTGTCTCCAGGGACTGCCATGTCCACTATCCAGACTTTTTTGTCTTTCTTATCGACAATTGTTAAGTCTGGGATGTTATGTTGCAGGTGCTTGTCTGTTTGAATTCTGAAGTCCCAGAGCAGTTTAATTTTATCATTTTCTATGACTTTCTCTATTTTATGATCCCACCAGTTTTTGCTTACAGGCAAATGATGATGATGATGATGATGATGATTATTTTCTATCAGTAAGATTTAGAATGACTGATTGGTCAGTTTATGTATTTATTATCTATTCCTTCTGACTCCCAATAATTCTGGGTGGTTCCCCCTGCTTTGCTGGATTTTCCCAGAAAATCTCAAAAATGTGGCCCTATTGCCAGTTTCTTACAATATTTTAATTTCATCATTATACATATGTTTTGAAAAAGCATGGATATTGTAGTATTATAATGCAACCATTAGCAACATTTTATGATAGCCTGGCGAAAAAATTGCCAGCCACCTGAAAAGATCACAATTCTTTGCTTTATAACTCTGTTTTGTGACTTTATGCAAATTTCATCCAGTTTTGATGAAAAACGGCAGCCACAAGATGAGTTTATGGAGAAGTTTCAGTTGGTGGTGTTTTGCAGTAAAAAAAAACACACAAAAAATGGTCTTGTGGCATCTGAAGACTAACAATGTAATTATCAGATATGTTTGCTGGATCACAATCCAATTTATCAGAGGCATAGACTATAGTCCTGGGAATGGAACATATATATGCAAAGAGAGAATGCGAACAAGAAAGAGAAAGTGAGAGAGAGAGAGAGAAAGAGAGTAGGCACATAGCTCTTGTTGGAGAGAGGGGAATGGAAAAGGAATGGAAAAGAGACAATTGCTTTAGAAGCAACCAGACATAAACCTGTATTCTGCTGTGATACAAATTTGTATTGAATATCTTCTTCACTTACATACTCCAGTAAGAAATCTTGGATTTATTCAACCCATAAGAGAGATATTTACTTTGCCTGACTTACTTTTCTTCTGTTAATCAGTGGGACAATGAACGTACATTTCATTTGTCTCAAAGGTGCTTTTTTTCTTCAAAAGGCAACTGGGCTGTTTTTTCTTTGAGGAGGAAGAAGAAAACATTTCACTTCTCATCCAAGAAGCTTGGCCAGTTCTGGTGGCAGAGAGATGGAAGGATAGGTACTGACAGTTGAGGCTGAATGGTAGGGGGATGGGAGGATAGCTTCTGATAGGATGGTGGGGGTGGGTGGGGTTAGAAGGATTGCATTTCTTTGCAGTCATCTGGTCATTAGCACTCTCTGAGGTTTGTTGTGGCCACTTGAAGGTTTATCTCTGCCCTCGGGGTCACCTGAATCAGGGTGCAATTCGTTGTGGGATTTTCTTGGAACAGCTGCAAAGGCTGCATTGTAAAGTAGAGATAGGTGGTGTCTTGTTCCTCCCTCTCTGTTGAGAAAGGGTTTCAGTTCTACAAACACAGATGTGTTCTTTTATCCCTCTTTTAAACTAATGGTCCTCTCTACCCAAAATATGGACTCTCAATCCAAAATGTGGACTCTATAAAATGTAGAGTTTACAACACAGCCCTTGCAACTGTTTCAAGAAGATTCCACAACCAATTGCCCCCTGATTCAGGTGACCCTGAAGGCACAAATAAACCCCCAAGTAGCCTCAACAGTTCTCAGAGAATGCTAATAAACAGATGATTGCAAGGAAATACAATTCTTCCATATCCCCTCCCCCACCATCCTATCAAAAGCTATCCTTCTATCGCCCTTCCATTCAGTCTCAACTGTCAGTATCTATCCTTCCATCTCCCTGCCATCTGAAGTAATGAAGCTTCTTAGATGAGAAGTGAATTTTTTTTCTTCTTCCTCAAAGAAAAAAACAGTCCAGTTGCCTTTTGAAGAAAAAAAAGCACCTTTGGGACAACTATGACCTGGATGACTGAGAATCTCCACAGATACATTTCATTTAATTTCATTTCACCAACAAAACTGTTTCTCATTCCCCAAATGCATCCATTGTCTCTTTGTCCAGTACCTTTCCCACTATGTTCATGAATCATTTGCTGCTACGCACAATGTATACGCAGGTACATTTACAGTATTAAACCTGTGAACTCTAAGGCTTCCTCTTTCCACTATGTATTCTAGATGGACATTGATTCATATTCATATATTATTTATCAGTAAAGGTGCAGGTTTATACATGTTTAAATGTGTGTTATGTATGTGTATACCTTTGAAAGCAAGCAAGCAAATTTCATGTGCCCACAGTAAAAAATGACAATGAAGGTTAAAGTTTATTCACGTCAGTCCTGGATGTTAAATACAATTTGGGGGATTGGTCAGGTAGATGGATCTGACAGCATCACCACCACCACCACCTCAATTCTTATCATGATCTGTAGCAGCATTGATGGAGCCCAAAGGGATGTTTTTTTCTTCCTCTGAAATGCTCTCTTTTCCCAGGAGATTCCTTAGAAAAACATTCTGTTTGAAGAAGGCACACATTTTGCTGATTTTTGAACAAGTTCAAAATATAAGGATTTGTCTACTACTTTTCAATGTCAAGTAGGTTCCTATTCTGGGTCAATCAAACATTGTCTTCTCTACTGTCTTCATGTGTCCTTCTTGCTAAGTTCCTATCCCATTTACAGTATATAGACAGGGTGGGATAAACAGGGGGAGGAGGAAGAAAGAGCCTTCCATATTATCCCAATTTATCTCCCTTCCGTGGTTTTGAGCTGGCTTTTCCCCTTCTCATCCTCTAGCCTAGATATGTTTATTGTTCGTCTTTTAGATTTGTATCCTCTGAGTTGAAAGAAGTTCTCATAAGGGGCTTTCCTTTCATTTTATTTTCTCAGCCATAATCTATAAATTAGGCTGGACTGAGAGACAGTGACGCTCCAATAGTCAACCAATAAGCCTCCATAATTGAGAATGAATCTGAACCTTAGTCTCTCCAATCTTAGTCCAACACTAGCTGCATGATGGAGAAGTCCACCCTGCACCAAGAAAATAAACACCTTTTCTGCCTAAGAGATCAATCCTTTTACTTCACTCATCAGGTGAAAACTGAAATAAGACTTCAACCACTGACAATAATTTTATAAATCAAGATGAAACAGATCAGTGATGTCAATATTGCTTAACACCCAGCATGCCTTAGCTGTGATTGTTATGTATTGGTGCTTGCTTAATCACCATGTCATTTTTCGTTGTGTGCTTAACTGAGTGCCATGTCATTTAGTGGACCAATTATCTCCTGTGTGAGGGTCTTTCTTTGTTAATGGTGCTCCTAGAAGTGAAAATGGATTCACTTTGTTTGGTAAGCCAGTTTGGAAACATGGCAAATATCTGAGGAAAATTCAGTGGAGGAGAAAACATGGCCATTTTCATTAGAGAGTGTCATGCCTGTCTAGGAAAGTTTTTTTTCCTAAGGTACGGTATGTGGGATAAAGAGGTAGCTCCAGGCAGAAGATGGCTTGCTGTGCAGATCCATAGAAGAAAACCCCACAGATATTGGAGGAGGAGAGATTGATGGTTAAATGGCACATGAACAGAGGCAGAAAAATGGTTTTTTTTATTTGAGTTTGCTCCTTCTAAGCATAAAAGCCTGAACTTTGACATCAGACTCTTGTCGTACACCTTGTTCTCCTGAAATGCTCGAAGTCACTGAAGAGATGTTTTGTACTCATTCAGCTTTTGATGGCAAAAGTGAGCTCTAAATAGCTCCTCTTTTGTCAGAAGGAAATAAAATAGGTCAACAAGTGACTCAAAGCTGGTGCTGGAATAGGTTTTCTATTGCCCAGAATATTTTCTTTGTTAACTTCTGATTTTTGTTAATTTCAGTAAATGAATGAGAGTGCTTAGCTTGACCCAGGAGGCCCAGGGACATCAAAGAAGATTGCCAAATAGGCTAGCAGCTGTTAAAACAATGCTTCATTTTCATTAGGAAATAATTAAGGGTGTTTTCAAGGTAGTAGAAAGAACTACTGAAGAAAGGAAAGCATTAAATGTTTCCTTGCGGTTATATAGGATGCCAATCCAGTCTAAAGGTATCATTTCAGTTTTCCAAGAACTTCAGTGGGGAGGAGGAAAACAGACAGCAGAGTTTCCTCCTTTTATTCCACTGCAGCAGGAATGAACTTTTTTAAACACTGGAAGTTTTAAAGAAGAGACTGGGCAGCCATTTGTCCGAAATGGTATAGGGTTTCCTGCCTGAACAGGGGGTTGGACTAGATGACCTCCAAAGTCCCTTCCAACTTTATTATTATTATTATTATTAAAGTGAGGGCTGCCCTTGGCCTTGAAGTAGACTGTAGCAGACTTTACTCCCAGGTAACATGCACAGTTTGGGCAAAGAAGCGGCTGGGAGAAGGTCATAAATGATATTTGATTTAATGATAATGTAATTAAATGAAATTGATTAAAGAAGTAGTATAATCAGCTTCCCACGTATTCAATATTTTCTCCCTTCTGTCACATTAAAAAGTACAATTCAGCAGCGATATTTGGAAGGACTCTAGGGTAAAGATTGCAGGTTGCACTTCCCTGTTTTAAATAAATGGAGGTGCACATATGCCAAGCAGGATGTAGGGACAATATGGCATGGTTTCTCTTTTCTTCTAATGAAAGAACCCCTAGATTAAAATTGCAATTGCATGCTGTAACAATGATTACCATGTTCCACTGAGGAATTGTACAGATGTTGGGAAGATAATGGGAGAGAAGACATAAACAATGAAGAGACTGCAGGTTATCTCAATGGCAGCTTATCTCTTAAGCAACAACCCAGCCCGGGTAGCAAAAAAAACTAGGAAGAAGCATTTCAAATAATAATAATAATAATAATAATAATAATAATAATAATAATAATAACAACAACAACAACAACAACAACAACAATAGTAAAGTTGGAAGGGACCTTGGAGGTCATCTATTCCAACCCCCTGCTCAGGCAGGAAACCCTATGCCATTTCAGACAAATGGCTGTCCAGTCTTTTCTTAAAAATTTCCAGTGTTGGAGCATTCACAGCTTCTGGAAGCAGGTTGTTCCACTGGTTAATTGTTCTATCTGTCAGGAAGTTTCTCCTTAGTTCTAGGTTGCTTCTCTCCTTGATTAGTTTCCATCCGTTGCTTCTTGTCCTGTTTTCAGGCGCCTTGAAAAATAGCTTGACTCCCTCTTCTTTGGGGCAGCCCCTGAGATACTGGAACACTGCTATCATGTCCCCCCTCGTCCTTCTCTTCATTAAACTAGACATACCCAATTCCAACAGCTGTTTCTTATATGCTTTAGCCTCCAGTCCCCCCTCCAGCTTTGCCTGAATGAACTCATGAGGGTTGGAAATTCCTCTTGTCCTTTCTAATACTAGCATTAAAAAGATCTTCCTGAAGTCAAGGTAGTTCTTGCTTCCTTGATGCTGTCTAATTTTGTGGGGGCTTAATAGCCTCCCCTTTCAGGATGCAGTTTGCCAGGTTTTTAAAAATCACTTTCAAAATAGTCTCTGACCCAAACTGCTTGCGGGTTGATATACATTTTTTTTATTTTGCTCTTCTTCCTAAAGAAAGCCTAGAATGGTTGTTCAATAAACCATCTTCAATAAAAGAAGTAAGCAAAGCAATGTAAAGGGGCATAATTTGAGGCCCGGGGCTGGTTGTGGCTTCTGCGAGTCTGAATAGAGCTCCCAACCTCCCAAAGGTGAACTGAATTTATAAGGTGACTGAAGAGAAATTATTACATATAGGGCTGAAGATTAACTGTAATAGCTATATTTAACTACTTGTACTGAATTTAAATGTAAATGAAATCGGATAAAGTGCTTCACCAATTCCTCTGGTGCTACTCCCTTGTTTTCCCTAGTCTTGTCTATACCAGGAAGTACAATCCCTCACCATAATACTTAGTGCCTTCTGAGGCTCCAAGTCAGGGGTAGGCAACTTTGGCTCTTTTATGACTTGTGGACTTCAACTCCCAGAATTCCTGAGCCAGCCATGCTCCAAGTCATTTCTGAATGTATCCTACAGCATGTATTTCAAAAGATATATGTTGTGTTGACTCAACCATTATATACCGCTGGCTGAGATGCTCCTCCTTAAGTTCACTGCATTAAGTTATCCTCACAAATAGCAGCACTTTCTGCAATATATTCAAGCAATCAATCAAAACATCGAAATGCATAGCTTACTTTAAGCAAAGTTACGGAAACAAAGTCCTGCCAAAAAAAGATTAAAAAAATAAAAATACAGGACATGGTGGGGTAGAAGTGTTACTCTATTTTGAAACATTTAGGTAGATATCTCTGGAATTTAATTGAAATGAAATCCAATAATCCATACACAGTAGAATAAGCCATATATTTGAATATTAACAAAGCTTCCGAATGCCTAAAAAAGAAATTGAGATGTTAGGTATTAATCCACAGCTAGTGAGAAGCAGAAAATATGCAAAGAGAATGAAAGGAACCTTATATATAGATTACTGTATGAAACATGGATGGACTGAAAATGTATATGAAACATGTTCTTCTGAAATGGTACAATCAGTCCTCTAAAAGCTATATGATTCTTCATGCTTAAATAGTAAATTGCATTGGAAAGAAGGTGAAGAAAGTCTATATTAGGTGGACATACTATATGTCTATTTAAAAAAATGGTTTACCACGTCTAATCTAGATGTTCTAATTCTGAGACTCAAGACCTCTGATATGAGAGAAAGGACCATAATTTTAAGACATAATCAATCACATTTTTATATTCATAGATTTCTCCTTCTATTGAGACACCTATTGTTCAGAATGTTTGCTGAAATTTTCTGAACAAAGCCGAAGCCGCATTAGCACAGAACACAGAAAAATGGTCTTGTTCTCATATCTTGCTTAACTGGGTCAAGAATGGATTAATATGTCAAAAGAATTCTGTAACTATAACTCTTACTCTAGTCTAGTGTCTAACTCAGAGGAATACACTTTTCACTCCAAACAATCCAAAGTTGTGAAAACTGATAATAATTAACTGCCCTTTCCCAGTTCCAAGATAGTAATAAAGCCCTAGAGTTGCACTATGACAATTGAACTCTTTTTTAGGTTTTGCCATATATATATGTGTGCAACAAAAAGATCATACGAAGCAGAATGTATTGCTCTTGGTAACTCCCACCTTAAAAAAATATATGGGTGGGAGAGGAAGTGACAGTCTGCCAGTTTCTTTTGCAATTGTTGAGAGATCTTAGAAATGGCTTCAGCATGTCTGAACCACCGATGATCATGTATAGTTGGCAAACAGGACAAGTTATGGTCCTATGAGAGGATGACTCTATAGGTCCTACCATGCAAAGGGAATCAATGAATTCTTCTTCTTTTTTAGCAAATAGAGAATAACATGTGTTTTAATTCTATTTCTGAAAGTGTTCCAAATCAGGCCACTTTGGATCTTACCCAACATTATGTTGCACCCAAATTCATGATGTTTGGAGTTAAAGCTCCCCAACAAGTTTTCATAGTACTGATTTCTATCTCTGACTAAGCATGGAACATTTGAGAAAGCCAGAAAGGAAAATGCTCTCATTCAAAAGCAGGGGAAGAACGAACACACGTGGTAGCCACTTCCATTTTGCACCAATATTATTGCGACCAATTAAACGTATTTTGCTAGGAGAGTGGCATGGTGGCCTCACAATCAGGAGGTTGTGAGTTTGATTCTAGGTAGCGGCAGATATTTCTCTCTCTCTCTGGACGCAAGGAGAAAATATTTGCTGTGAACTCCTTGTAGGTGTCAGGAAGGGCATCCAGCCAGTAAATGTTAAGCTCCATTCAGTCACCCCAACTCCATCCTGATGCAAGGGATTTCAGGGTTGTTAAAAGAAAAAAAAAGTATTTTGCTATGTGAACCTACAGTGTTGTAACATCCAGTGATAAGGAAAGCATAAACTTACTCTGGTAGTCTTGACTTTATTGCCAGTTGCACACATCCATCCTGAATTGTCAGGTAATGTCTTGCATTCCTCACCCTCTAGGCAGGGCTCCATCTCACACCACCATTTCCCAATGACTATTGATGCTGAAAGAGAATGGACAAAGCATTTGTGAATGAACCTTGCTGCCTCCCACCAGTTTACTTTACTTCATCAAGAAGAGGCTTCCCAAATGAACAGAGCTCATTCAGTCCTGCATCAAATCCACATCCTTTAGTGCTGACTGAGTGCAGGCCTAGAATGCTCCAAGAGATGATAGGTCATCAGTCCACTAATGGGATAAAAAAGAAGGTGTAAATGAGAACCTCAGAAGAGCCACAGGGTGGAAAAAGAACATAATCCACTCTGAGTGAAAAAGTAGAGACATGATAGCTCTTCGATCAAGCAGTGCAACTCAGTTCGGAGGACACCATGTATATGGATCACAGGCTTTGTAAACAGATTTATGTTTAGTTTATGTACCCTGCTGCTGTGAGAAACATCCTGTACATCATGAAAAATATCTCCCCCAGACTCCCATCAATTCAGGAAATCTTTTTTTTATTCAGGTGAACATCCCTTGCAAGCATTCTAAAAGCATTCAAGGAGCTTTTGCAAAGTGGAAAGGTTGTCTGCTGAGGATGCTATAATTCTTGGTGAAGAGGTAAAATGAGCCCATGTGAGATGACCTCATAGCAGGAGATAAACATATGTGTCTCCTCGGATCCTTTGATATCTATCTTGATTGCACAAATAACACCTCCCAAGCTATCGGGTGCCTTGATACACTAACCAGTGTTACAGGAGACATGCATTGTAGGAAAAAATGGTTTAAAATTGTATTATTTTATTGCAATGCTTCGGAATATGAAAGCTCACACTCTGTTATTACCATTTGCAATTCTGAGAGCAATTGAAATACGATAGTGTGATATGAAAACTATGATACAATTTACAGCTTCTTTTGGGAACTAGATTCATTCTTTGCCAGTAATTCTTTGCTAGTATATTTTTATCAAATGAAAGGGGAGGGTGTTGTATTATTTTACAAGAAATACACTGACAAGAAATTGTTTCAAAATTGCTTGTATAGGGGAAGGTACAGTGGCCTAAATCTATACAAGGACTATTTAACTCCAGATAAAGAAATCCTGGTTCTTTACGCATTTAGTTGATATACTGATGCCTACTGGATTCTTCTGCGTATCCTGCTCCTCCCAATGCAAGGACAACATCCTTAAATGAAGTCTTGATGTCATCTTCAAGCTCTGTGTAGCAAACCATGCAAACAGCTTCTACCTGCACTCCATTTTTTTTCTGGTTCCATGTTCAAAGTACTATTTTTCAACTCTGGCTGGCAGGAGTGGTGTTGCTCAGACTGTCTGCTATGCAGCAACTCATTAAAGGCAAGGCCTCTGAGAGGTTCAGCAGGCTAACATTGCTCCACTGACTATACAGATCCTGGTTTTCAATGGCCCTTCCTTTGCAATTAGTGCATCAGAGGGCAATAATCTTTGAATCAATGTAGAACAGGCTAATTTACAGAATGCATTCAAAATCCGGGATCCAGGATCCCCAGGCCTCTTACTGACAAATATAAAGGTGATGGGGGGGAAAGGGAAACTGCACATTCAATCTCCTCCCTCTTTCCTTTCCCAAAGATCACTCCCCTCCCCCAATGCTCTTGAACTGGAACCTGTCCAAGATTCTTGGGCTTCTTGAAACTTTTTTTACAGGAATATACAAATGGGACTGGAAGATTGTGATTGCATTCAATCTGTCAGACTATTTAGGATAAAATTGACAAGAACTTGCCAGGATTACTTTTATAACTTAAGAAAAAGAAACACTAAAAACTGGAATCGACTAGTGAAAATCTCATTTTGAATAAGCAACTCTTAGCCTGAGCATGAAGTTGGATTGGATGACCTCCAAGTTACTTTCCGATTGAATGCTTCTGTGACTGCTGGACGCTGTTTGCTCATGAAAAAAGAAAGCAATTGGAACTGGCTTTCCCAAACAGGGGTGGGAAGGATAAAGAAACAGAGAAATCTACTAACTGGAGGTCATGTAACTGCTACCAAGACAGAGGACCTGGTCAGCATTATTGTCAAATCTTGAAAACCATACAGTTATTCCTTAAACTGGCTTCAGTTCAGCTGATATCAGCATGGAAGGCAGGCAGTTGAAAGCTGATTAAAGAATAATTATTTTTTAAAAATTGGTCACTTGTTTTCTACAGAGGTATTAATGTGGGTGATTGCCAAGAGAATTAGCCTGCAATAGCTCCAGCATTATGTACATGTGCATGGATATATATCTTAATCTATAATATATTATCCTCATGTCTGTTTTATACTTTGTAATCTTCAATTAGTTGGAATGGTGCATCACCATTTTTGAATCAATGTACAATAAGCTAATTTACAGAATATGTCCAAAATCTAGGATCTGTGGCTCCTGTGGGACTGAAATTTGGCAAAGTTTTGGATGCCTCAACACCATCACACCTTCCAACTACATTTCCCAGAAACCCATTGGATACATATCTCTACCTTCTTTCTCACCTCCCTCTGGCATCTGTGCCTAAGTGGCTGGTAACAAGGCCTCACAGGTGAGCAACCATTGGCTGCTTTGGAATTTGAAATCTCTTAATGGTGGTACCCAGTGATGGAAGAACAAAGGAGCAACTTGGATGCCTGTTGTCAAGGTAGAAATGGCTGGGGGGTGATGCCAGCGGTTGATGGGTTAGCCCCCTTTTTCCCTGGAGGGAAGGGCTCCTTGAGGGCAGACTGGAATAGGGAGAGGGATGCAGTTTGCCTCATCTGTGCTATCTTTGTTACCCTTCCCCTCCCAAAACCATGGGTCAGCTGGGGCAGAAGCTTCACCAGGATCTCCTGAGAGTCACGAGGGGAAAGGAAATGGTGGAAGTCTATATTATATGTGGAAAGAAATCAGGCTCCCCCAGAAAGAGTGAGACCCCCTAGTTTCATTGTACTTGCCATGTTTTATTTTTTTAATGTTTTATTGATTTTTACTGTAATTTGTTTGTTGGACTGTTGTGAGCCAGCAGGAGTCATTGAGAGTCAGGTGATGTCATTATTGAATTAAGTTAAGTTGTTAAGTTGTTTACAATGATTTTGGCTGAGGGGATTGAAAATAATTTTGCAAAAATTTATTAATGAAGATCAATGTGGGTTTTACCTAAAGGACACTTAAGGGATAATATTAAAATGTGGTGGACATTTTGCAATATTTGGAGCAACATAATGAAAAGCAAGCTACATTGATTTTCTTAGACACAGAGAAGGTCTTTGACAATTTCATCTGAGCTTTCCTGTTCAAGATCTTGGAATAATTTTGGAGATAATGTTATAAAATGGGTAAAATTGAATTACACACTTTCTGATTTACAGAAAGGACAAATAATTGTTAATAATAATAATAATAGTAGTAAAGTTGGAAGGGACCTTGGAGGTCATCTAGTCCAACCCCCTGCTCGGGCAGGAAACCCTACACCATTTCGGACAAATGGCTGTCTAGTCTCTTCTTAAAAACTTCCAGTGTTGGAGCATTTATCAGCATTTGCTGAAGATTTGGTGCTGGTTTTGGATGCTCCATTAATGGGAATAGAATAGAAAATTCTATTCTATATTAATAGAAAAATTAAAAGAATGTGATATACTAGCAGATTTTAAAATTAATAATCAGAACATGAAGATGTTAACAAATTATGAAAATAGATGCTCAAATAAAAGTGATGGAGAAAGCTGGTTTTAAAAGTGAGAAGAAATGAAATTTGGGGGTATTGCTATGACAAATATGAATTGTATTATTTCAAAGAATTTCTAAAATGGGAGACACTACAATGGTCATTGCTGGGGAGAATTTCTGTGATAAAGATGAATGTTTTGCTTCGTATGATCTCTTTGTTGCACACAATACCTGTTTTAATAACAAATGCACCATTTAAACCCTGGCTAAAAAATAATATCTAATTATGGCAAGGGAGCCACAAGTTAAATATACAATGTAACAGAATACAAAGGAAAGAAAAAAGAATGGGTTTACTTGATCTGACATTATATTTTGCAGCTTATTGTTTGATTTGGATGAAACAATGGGTATTGCTAAGAAATAAAAGACTTTTAGAGTTACGAGGACATAACCTGAGACTTAAGTGGCATGGATGGGTGTCGTATGATAAACTCAATATACAGTAATTTTCAGAAATCTTTATGTTAGATGTGCCATAGTGAGAATATAGAATTGATATAAACCCAGACTATGCCCAAAAACCCTTTTATGGTTGTCAGCAAAAGAGATATTTTATAGGCAGAAATAATAGGAAACCATAAGTGGTTAATATATCATGAGATATTAAAAGTTGTTCAAGGAGAATTCAAAATAAAATGAAGAAAACAACTGATGACAGAAGACACACTCCTACTTCATCTTTCTTGAATGAGACAGAACTATGGATACCTAATATATATACAATATTTTCTTCATGTTCACTGTATGCTTATAAGGGAAGGTAAATAAATAGCTTTATTTTTTATTATTTAAATGGATTCACTGGACAACTTCAGTGTATTGTTTGCTCTACATTTCAAACTGTCCCCCCTCCCATGCCCTGCTTCTCTCCTACACACATACACAAAACCACTTGCTTCCTCTTGATAATTGGAAAGAAGCTACACAGGGAGATCACTCAAAAACAACTGACTGAATAGGAAATAATCTCCCACTGGTGAATTGTGAAATGTCTATCCTGGACTATTAAGAAGCAATGGAATATTCAGTTGCTGTAACAACATTTTATTAACCAGATCACACGTAATGTACTAATCTGAATAGAATATGTTTAATGGAAATGGTGGTGAATTGTGTCTCTTCAAATCAGCTCCAAGCATGATGATGGAAGTTGAGGTCCAACATTAACACATTTGAATACTGGCTGCCTCAGCCCAGAAATGCATGTATGACTGTGTGCGCAGCACCTGTTAAGAATGTTCACAGATAATATAACTTCAAAAGGAAGAAAAGAGAAAATCCTCTGCAGAGTTTTCTTGTTATTTATGATAGCTGTACCTGAATGGAACCA